GGTACATTTAGACATTCAGTGCCCAAAAGGTAGATAGGAAATGTGATGATTATCAAATCACTACTTAGGAAATCTGTATAATTAAATTAACCTGCTCTATCTCTCAGGATTACTTGCAATTAAAGCTTTTTCTAGAATTAACTGTACAATGGCTTTTCTCTGTTAAAAGAAAGTTAGGGATAAGTAAAGTCGTTAAAAGATCTCACAAAATAAGCCCCTTTCCCTATATACTTAATTCACAGTACAGAATACCCACTTTCAGTGATCATTTTTGTCATTTAAAATAGTAAAATCCTATTTATTTGCCTATCTAGTTTAATGAGTCTGACCTACTTTTTTCAGGAAAAAAATTAAGAATGTGAAGCTCTCTCCTCATCTTTTCCCTTCTTTTTTTTATGTGGTTGCAATGATTCGATTCTTTATTCAACTCTGCCTGTTACCTACACATCCTATTGCTTCCTTTTAAGCTTTTGTTTGTTTGCCATTTTCTGGCTTTCCTTACTCTATTTGAGAATTCTATTTCTTAAAAAGTATACTTGTTTAGGGAGGGAAGGGTACATACAGCTCAGTGGTAGAGCATGTGCTTACCATTCATGAGGTCCTGGGTTCAATCCCCAGTACCTCTATTAAAATTAATAAAAACCTAAATACCCCCTTAAAAAAACAAACAAAAATACAAAAAAAAAAAAAGGAAAATTGAAAAAAGTCACCTGTTTAACTTAGTTGAACAATTGCAGCAACCTTTCTTGTGGGGGCAAGTCTCAAAAGCCAGGCAATGTATCAAGTGTTTCACATATATTAGCTCATTTAATTTTCAAAATCTTGCAAAATAGGTATCTCCATTTTATGATTAAATAAAAGTAAACCTCGAAAGATTATATAATGAGCCCATAAGTAGACAACTGGTGAACTACAGAATTGAGACTTGAACCTAGGTGTGCAGAGCACCAAAACTTATGCCATATAATGTCCATAAGCTTTTTGCCATCTGTAAGAGACCTTTTACTGAATGTTTGACTAAGGTGCTTTCATTCATCAACAAGTATGAGTGCCTATTATATGACTTCAAAATTTCTGTAGATACTTTTAATAGGCCCTTCTCCTACTGTTTCTGAAACTGGAAAGCTGCAGACAGTGCACTTTTTTCCCTTTACTTCCTCTCATTAAATGTCAAATTTAATCATGCTATGATTATTATCAGGTAGTGGTTCAGCCACAGCCATTTCCTGCCCCAGTTCCGGTTCAAAATGAAGTCCAACATATTCTCTTTCCTAGACTTCTAAAATTATCTGTTCTAGGAAGCAGTTTTTACTTATTTGAAAACCCACCTTGATTATTTTGTGTCATTTTGGCAATTTATATGAAGCTAACAAGTTGAACTAAAAATGTATTTTTCCTAAATGTCATTTAATATTTTCAACTTAGTCATATGATTCTGGTTATCAAGTGATCCACATTTATACATCCAATTTTATGGTTTTGTGCTAACCTGAGGGGAAGATATAAACATGGGACTTTTTCCACAGATTTTCAAAGGACAGTCCCAATTTAAAACATTCTGTCCGACTGTCAGGTCTCAAGTTTCAGTTCATAAAAGACAGTCAACATACATGCAAAGGATAGTTTTGACTCTACACAGCTAAAGAGTAGGTAAGGGGATTGAGGGAAGGCAATCAGTCATTTTAGGATTCTTCTTTTTTAAATAATCCCAAAATACATTCTACAAATTAAGTGCAAATAAATGCCTCTGGTTGTAGTAGTTGTCTTTTACAGCTCCAAATGAAATATCACAATGAAAGAATCAAACAGTTGCTTATCTGAACACATTTGGAAATGAAGTTTTAAGTGACACCACGGAAAATAAGTATTAACAGGTAGATATTAAATAAAACCTTAACAATGCACAAACTATTGAAATATTCCTATAATTTCAGTATCTAAGTATGCAATTTCTAAATTCGACCAAAATCACCCAGTCATATTTATATACAATTACCATTTAAATTTGACCTTCACAAATACCTTCTATACAATGCCACAATTATTTGCTATTCCCTCAACAATCCATATTCCTATTCTGAGATTCTGCCTCCAGTTCTGTGTTGTTTGATGCCTTCCTCATCAATGAAAATTAGCACTCACCCATTAAGGCTCTACAGATAGCTCCTACTGAACCTGCAACCCCTTCTCTACTCTACTAAAATTATTTGTTCTTTCTTCTTTATTCATGGTTTACCAATGTGCCAGTACTTTACATATTTAGTTTAATACTAATACTCCCCTTTGAAGTATTATTGTGTTCACTTAACAGATAAGGAAACTAATGATGAAAAAGGTTTGGTAACATGTTTAAGGTCACAAATAGGAATTCATCTGAATTTCAAATGAATTCTCTTTCCATCAAATAGCTGTCTCTCCAACTAAAGGGATGTTCCTCAAAGACAGCAAAGATGACTCCATCCTTATATCCCCAGCAATACTCAACAGTGCCTATTAAACAATGAACTCAAAGTGTTACTGAATATTCAGTTTATGATTTTGCAGTATTATTTTCCACTGATGAGTCTCCTTCAACCAAATCTAAGAAGCCATTTTTCCTGTGGTAGTAAAGCACACCATGGTATACAGGCTTTGCAATCATATTGCTTAGATGTAAATTCCACTTCCACCAACTTATTAGCTGAGAAATCTGGAACAAATGAGTTAACCTAAGTTTTGGTTAACTAGTCTATAAAATAGGGAGGGCAGAAATCACAGTACCTATCTTCTGGGATTATAAGGGTTAAATGAGATACTATAGAAGCAATTCAAATAATTTTACACCCTCTTTTTTTTCATTACATGCTACCCCAGATTTTTCTTTGGCCCAGTCTAGTGGCTTTTTCACTACAAATTCTATGCAATTTTGTATTAAATGGACTAGCTAAAAAGATTCATGATTTAAAAACTGCTCAGGCCGCCTACTTGACTTTTAGGGCCAACTGTCTAGTGCCAGTTTGGATTCAAAAAAAAGTTTACTCTTGGAGGTTTGACTATGCAAGAGTTCTCCCACTGTGTATTAGATTTGCTATCACATTTCCCCACCAGAAAGTTTGAAAATTAGAACACAGACATTTCTTACTTCACTACCACCTAACTTAATACCACCTGATGCATGCGGACAACTAACCTGTGGGGGAGGCAGACTATTTCCCCAGCAAGTAAATTTAGGTGGAAACACCTGTGTCTGGTCTCAGGCATAGCTCATTCTCCAGATTTCTCTAGAATCTAGAGGCTGAGCCACTACAACAGAGGATACTCGTTTTCTTCTCTTAAACTTAGCAACCTTATTCCAAAAAGTTACAATTTCAAAGTGTTATGCTATTTTACAGCTCTTTAGGCTAAAGTGCAATAGTCTCCAAATTCTCAGAACTCCACCTTAAAACTTTAAAAAATGTATTAAGAAGTCCAGTTGGTGAGGAAAAAAAAGTTTTCAAAAATACATCATCCCTAGAAACAAGAGCAAATACTAAGTCTATAGCCAAAGTCTCAAAGGGGAAAAAAGAAAAACCTTAAAATGCCTAGTTGGCTAAAGCTAACCAAAAACTGTAAAATCAGAATAATGCAAATAACAAACTAATCTCAAAGTAAGCAGGATATATCATCAAGGAAGAGAGCAAGAGTATATTAAAAATATTTAATATATTCACCACGAATTTTAAAATTACTTGGTATGTAGATACTGAGATTAACAAATTGTTCCAGATTCAGTACTTCTCTAGTCAGTGTATGCTGATATAAAGCAATTCCTTTTTTTTCTTTTTAAAGCCAGGCTAAAAATTAAAAGGGTGATAGATTAATGACAGAATAATCTAAATTCTACACGGAGGTGTTCACTTAGAAAACCATGACTCTAAGAAGCAATACCAGAACACTGGCTGTCAACATCAGGAAGACAAAAAAAAGAAAAGGTGAAGCATGCTTATTGACCGCAGTATTGTTTCCAGACAAGAAATATCCCTTTAAGGCCCGTGCCGAGGATTCCACTACCCGCTCCGCAGTCAGTGCTGGAATCACAAAACTAAACTGTTGCCCGCTCAGTGAGTGCAGGGCAGCGACCCCCACCAGTCGGCTTCCAGCGCGCCGAGTTGCCCCCTCCTCGGGCCGCTAGTTGGCCTCTCCCCGCCGGCCCGGGCTCGGCCACCCGGTGGCCCCGCATGCCCTCCAGGA